AGAAACAAATCACCCTTAGATATATAAACATGAGAAAAGTAGTTATGGAACTGCAAAAAAACAAGAGTTACTTGATTGGCTGGGGAGGAGTAGTAATAAATAAGACTGGAAAAATGATCTGGAGCTCCATAGGCCATATTGTGAAATTTGGGCACTATTCTGGAAGGAATAGAAAGTAGAGTAAGCAAAATGTTTGCACAACCAGTCTTTATTTTAAATGATTTTTAAAGATATTTTTAAAAGCTATGTAGAAGGAATAAGATTAAGAGCATAGAAGATATATATATATATATATATATATATATATATATATATATAGAGAGAGAGAGAGAGAGAGAGAGAGAGAGAGAGATCTGTAACAATACCATATCAGTGGATTCTAGGAAAACTCAGAAGGAAAATGAAGAATATGTTAGTGAATGGAGATGAGAGAGATGGGGTAGGCAAGGCTGGTGTGAGAGTATGGATGGTGGACTTTTAACTGAAACAAAAAGGGAAGAATGAGGTAGGGTGGGACAAATAAGGGTGGTTTTAGATATGTGGTATTTGAGGTCACTGCAGCACACCAGAGAGGGGAAATATGAGGGGAAGATGGAAATTTTAAATCCAAAGTTCAGAAAAGATGCTGTATGTAGAGATGGAGCCTTAAACACATGACATGTTAGTTGTAGTTAAAGCCAAGTTGTAGCTAAAGATCTGAAACAAATCAGATCTCCAAAGGATGGCATGGTAGATGGGATGGATATGAAGGAGAGTGTCAAGGAGAATGGTTAATAGTGTAAAATGAGAGAGAAAGATCAAGAAAGGTAGGGCCTGAAATGTGATCTGGCAATTAGCAGGCAGAGTGGGATATACTCTGACCTTCAGTCAGCTTATCGACGAGACTATCATTTTGTACAAACTAGCACCTCTTTTTCTCTTCTCGACTCCTGTCTATAAATGTGGTCACTGTTGAATGAAGATGATATATTTCCCTTTATAGAACTGACTTCCACCCAACAATCCAGTGTCTATCTGGCATGATGTAACTATTGCTACTAGTCACAACTCTCTGTACCACAAGTAGACTCCTGACTCATGCTGAGTCAATCTGAATCTTTTCATCCCTTGAGAAGACAGAGTATGTTAAATATTGGATCTATAAAGTCCTGTAAAGCTGGAGTGATTCTCAAACCTTCTATGATTTATATTCTGTGGGAACACAGATTGTGTAAACACTTGTGTTTTCCTTAAATCAATACTACACACTTGCTTTAAATTTGCCTGTTGGGATGATTTCTGCAAAGTCAAGTTTTCCTGGATGCAACACTCTCTCCATACAAAAGGTCCATTCAAGCAAACATCGTCTCCAGCTTCTGATATATCCTGTCCTTCCTCCTGCCCTCCTCCACACCCACATTTTCCCAGATGCTAAGACAGTCTTAGAAAACTACCCTGCTGAACTGCTGTAAGCAATGCTTCCTGGATGCCAAAACAAAGAACTGTTCAAGACTTAAGGTAATGCTGGGACTCTTTCAGGCTGCAAAACAGCCCATAAAATCTGGCTTGCCGCCATTTGAACGTAGCATCTATCCTATCACACTGACACCAGACCCACCAGGCTCAGGTTCATACCCTACCCACAGTTACAACCTGCCAGACAGGGAGAAGTGAGGATAGGATGTCATGACTTCCAATTTTTGGAGGACATCAGCTTGGAAACAAGGGAGAGAAAGCTGTGGATGCAGCTGTGACACAGATCCTATGCATCCTGATGACAAGGACCCTAAGAAAGGACCATCAAAGAAATCCTGATCTGAAGGTAAAAAGAGAAGCCTCCTAGGCAGGTTCTTATCATTTCAGACCCCTAAATAACTGACTATGAGATTCAATGTCACTGGTATCTTCAAAATCTTGAGCAGAAAAGGATATGGAAAGTAGAAAGAGGAGAGGCACAGACACACACAGCACAGGAAAATGGAGGTCAACGTGGGATGCAGAGAGGATCAAGAAGAGCACAAGGGAACACGTCCAAAATTCCAAACAGCAAATTTAGTCAGAGGTTCAAAAAACCTTTTTCCTGCCTTATAATGAATTATATATCAATGTTTAGACAAGGTGCTACCTTTTAATGGATGATACCTGTATAAGCAAGTCTTATAATCTACAGGGCACTCACAGTCTTAGTTATTTTCAAATTTCTTTTTAAATTTTCAAATTCTTATGACCCAGTTTCATCTTAAAATAAGGGAATAGGTTAGAAGCTGTCTAAAGTCCTTCCAAGGGCAGGTATGGTCCTCCAGGTTGCCTGGCTTTCTCACAGCACTTGGAGACATTCAGATTTAAAAACATATTTGTTTATTAAGGTAACCAAGTTCAAAACTGTTTCTAAACTGAGAAACTTACAAAAATTACTCCCTTTCACAGAGAAAAGCGAGCACAAGATGACATACCAGAATAGGTACTGTGAGACTGATATGTTGTCCTCACAGCTAATTCACATGCCTGGCAGCATGTCCACTGCTTAAGAACAAACCCAGAAGCTGGTCCGCCTAGATGTGATGCTTGACTCTACCGATTCTCTGTACCTGAGTTTCTCATCCACAAAATTAGAATATTAAGAATGCCAGCTTTAAATGAGTTAATAGTGGCAATGTACTAACAACAGTACCTGACACTATAAAAGTATTTATTTAAAATAATTTTTTTTAAAGACTGGGTTGGAGCGAGAGTGTAGGTCAGGGCAGAGTGCTTGCCTAGCATGTATGAGGTCCTGGGTTCAATGACCAGCACCAACTACCACCACCGCCATCACAACAACAACAAAGAGAAAAGCAAAAAAAATTATAAAAGCTATGTGCTATTATTATCACTATTTTATAAGGGTAGAAACTAAAATTCATAAAGGTTAAGTAACTGGAATCCAAAATCACCCAAGGAATAATCCGTAGAATCTGGTCAAACCTAAACAAGACTAGAGAGTTTCAGGTTTTCTGACTACTATGCTACATCCCTATAAAAAAAAGACTCATTTAACAACAGAAGACAGAATATGTTGAATTAATGACCAGACACTGGGGTTACACATGGCCCTGATCTTTTTAGATCATGAATTCCCAACTGGTTTCTATCAACTTGTTTAATACAAGATAAATTTTAAGACCTTTTAATGTTATACTTATGTATCATTTCAAAGTCTGGTGCTCATTAATTTGTTTTACCCACAATACCTGCAGGCTATAAAACCAATAAAAACTCAGAATAAGCCCATATCTTTTACAAACTAACTTCTTACTGTAACAACTCAAGATTTAAATAGTTCTTATTATACCCAAATACTGTAGTAATCATCAATACCATCTAATGGATCCTTACAACCTTCTTCCCAACTTACATTTTGAATACGAACAAGCAAAAGCTCATAATGTTCAGGTAAATTTCTCCAAGCTCAGGTAACTAGCAGATAACTGAGGTAGGATTCCAACCCTCTCTGTTTGACTTAACTACTGTCCTTCACTACTCCTTTTAGAACAGAATGACCATGTCAACTACAGGGTCACTTCATATTCTTTAAAGACTCCAATTTTCCAAGGCAGGGCCATGGGATTTATAAAAACACATTAGCCTACCAGGATATCAAATTATCTGAGATAAAAACAATGGAACATAAAAATGGAATGACAAAAAATTAATTGATCAATTGTATCAGGCAGACAATGAAAGGATAACAATAATAGTATATAATATTTCTATTAGCTTTTGTAAACTGTTTTTAACCTTCAGGCAGATGTGAGGGATGAACCTGTCTCTTTCACTTCACAGCCCTGTGCCAGTTGCGAGAGCATGCGAATCCCATCAGCCATGGGAAAGGCTGCTCTGAAGACTGAGGGAGCTCATGAAGAAAGGCCAGCAGTATGAGGCAGGGCAGACCCCATGGAGGAGCTCTTGCAATGCCAGGACCTCTGGTCTCGTGCAGCTGTGTGGGCCTAGCACAGAGAAAGGCACATGGGGCCCTCTAAAAATGTCGACTGAAGGAGCTAAGTGAGCAAAATGTGCTATGATCTTGGTCCTCTAATAGGATTCACCTTTTCTACAATCGCCCATTTTCTGAACTCAGCTCTGAAATAAGCTATTCCCTGTTTCACTCTTCTTCACATTATCCAAAATAATTCAATGTCCACCTTTTCCTTTGGGAAAATCAAAGGTTGACATGGCTACCTTTTGAACTCAAGCTGTTAAAGATCCTTTCTTGTGTTCAAAAAGTTTTACTGATTTTGAAAGGTCTTATTGATAAAACACAGAGAAACTCAGGGGAAAAGGACAAAGAGAAAGAAGAAGAAAGAGAAAGAAGAAAGAGGCCAGAAAAGAAAGAGAAGGGAGAGAGCCCAAGAGAAGCAGAGAAGCAAAGAGAAGTGAAAGGCTACTGAATGCATAATTGCCGACCAGCTCGGGTAACAGCCATGGTGTGCTATTTTTAAAAACCAAGGGGAAAATATTTACATAAAATCCAAAGCATGTATGCTCTTTGTTAAATGTTGGAAAATGACAATGTATTCAATTCATTAATTCACTGATGTTTACCTCTGACACCATTGGCAAGTCTAAGCTAAATATCCAAGAAGAGAAAGAAGAAATTTAGGAACTAAAGATAAATGAATATTTTATTTTTTTGTTTTTGTTACTGTTGTTTCATGTGTATGCTCACTATATTTGTGCAGTTTTTAGTGACATCCTTAAGGGTTGATAGCATATCAAATGGGTGATATGAAGCCATCTAAGTTCCTCTTGAAGACCTCTGCTTCCAAGGTACATATAAATCAAATGGATTTTAAGCTGTTTAAACCAAAGTCATGTAGAAAAGTCACACAAATCTTAAACAATCTTCTAACTGTGCTTATGCGTAATAGTTTACAAAGGAGATATTTTATAATAAACATATTAAGAGTAAATAGGTCTTAATTATGTTGAGCAAGTTTTATGTCCTCATTAAAAACAGAATCCCAACAGTAAACATGACTTACCACCAGAATTACCTCTGCCACAATTGTCTACTCTTCCCAAACACTCTTTGTGGGCTCTTGCTCCACACTTACAACATAAATAGCCTTGATAAAATGTTCCCCTGAAAGGTAAAATTACAGAGTGATGCATTAAAAGGTGATAAACTCTGCTTATAATGAAATCATTATTGCAAAATGCCGGGGCTGGGGGCGGGGATCACAGTGCTACTCAAAGCATCCTCAGTAGAGAGAAAGGACCTCCCCCTGTGGGGTTCTGAGGGGTATTTCCAAGTCTAAGGCCTAGGAAAGATCTGTTGAATCCAATCTGTGAAGACAATATCCCTACTTCAGAATGTTTTTGCTTGAAGCACTAAGCAATTTCACTTGTTCATTTCAACTCAAGAACAGGCCTGAGCAAGCTTACCTGAGGAGCATCTGGCAGACTTTGCAGGATGTCACCCGAGTGAAGGTGTGCATCTTGAAATCATGGAAATTGGAGTCTGCATAGTCTGGCCTTATGTTAGATCTGTAAAAAGGAAAAGGTCACATCCTAAAGAAAGCTTCACAACAGAACAGCAGTCTAGGCACCTAAAAGCTAAATCCATCAAAACTGCATTGGGTAGAGATCTGATTCAAGCAAAAAGACTATTAAATATGCAATGGTTTCTAAGCCATCTACACATTAAAACATGTACCAATAGCCAGTGCTATGAGCATCTGTAATACAGAAGGACATAATCTATCCTTAGAACTGAGTGTTTCCAAAGGACTCTGAAGCACTGAAGCACGATCCCCTAGGTCAACCTGCTGAGAAAAAAAGCAAAATCTGCTAGATATTCATGCTATGTGATAGTTTCTTTTCTCCAGCAACATCACTGAAATATAAACTAGTTGGTGACAGTGGGAAGGAGAAGCAGAGCACCGTGAATTTACAGAGTTGGTCTCTAAATAGGTATGGGTTATTAATGATTTATAAAAAAATCATTTTATAGAAAGATTTTAAAAAGGCATTAATCTGATAATTAAAACTTCTTCCCTAATAATTCACTTTCTTTGCAATCCAAGAAAAGCTAAATTATTTCATCATTTGTTTTGCATTTTATTTGCAGTAAATGCACCTAAAACAACAAAAAGTTATTACACATATCTTAAATTCACATTCATTGTAGATTGTGCCAGATACTGAGACAACCACTTGACATTCATTATCTTGTTTAATTTTCACATCAATCCTAACTGCCTGGCCCTGATAATAGCACTTAGCTTACAAACAAGGAAACTGGGTCTGCTTTAAAGCAAAGCTTGCTCTAAAATGAGGAAAACGCAAATGAAAAACTCGAACCCAGGTCTGTGCTCTTGGCTACTCTCAGAGAGTGAGAGAAATCAGTAATATCCACATAAAAATAATCAGGTTTTTGGGTTTAGTAGGTGTGTTGGAAGCACTTAAATTTAACCATTTTAGAGGGTTTTTTTAACGCATTTCAATGTAGCTCTGCATAGAAGAAAGCAGAAGAATTAGGAGAGTTTAAATATGGATACAAATCAAAGTCCACCTAGAAAGCTAAAATAATACACTCCAAGATGTTATACATAATCTGAGAGATTGTAGGAAAAGTTTGAGATACTGATGAGCTAGGATTTCCCCTTTTATTGAATATGGCAACTCTCAGCACACAGAGCCTCAGCGTAATGAAGCATAACGCAGGCAGGCGACCAGGCATCAATCTCAGAGGTACCAGGAGAAGCCTTATGAAAAAACATTCGCAAAGGCAATTGGAGTAGCAGGCAGTGATGCAGAAGTGTCAGAGAGGTCAGCCTTCCCATCCATCTGCTGAATATGAGCGTGCTAAAAATGAAATCAAATATTAGTGCCATCTGGGATTTCTCTGCTCTGTGCTTCTGGTGACCTCACTTTTTAGGAAAATGTTCTACTGCATGCTGAAAAGTATGGCCTCTTCCACAGAGGCATTTTTTTGTGTTGCTGATTAAAAATCACAGAGCTCTTCCTCAGGAAGGGAGAAGAGAAAATGTAAGAATCTAAAAACTAAGCTCTTCTGGCATTGTTGGAAAAACATTTGATTCTTGGATCCATATAACCATGCACTGAAAAGAGCATCAAGACCCATTTCCTTAGCCAGTAAGGGCTGTTGTTGTTCATTTTTCTCTGAGCGTCAAGGTGATACAGTCATAGATGAATTGTCAGGTAACAGTTTCAGTCCTGGGAACCTGAAAAATTCATCAGCCTGGAGTTTTCAAATAAAAGTAGGTCTCTGTCAGGCAGAAACTTATGTAATAGGTCCCAAATATCTAAGAATTTAATTAATTTCAGGAATTGGCCTTGGACAGAGAAATGCAACTGTCTCCTGGGGTCAAACCAAGCTTTTTTGTTGTTGTTGTTGTTTTTTTTTTGTGTGTGTGTGTGTGTGTGTGTACATATTTATGTATATGTACCAGAGTTGTATTTGGACCATTTGTATTGAAAATTTTTACCAACTGGGAATAAGCTGACTTTTCAAAAGACAAAAATCTGAAAAGAAAATCACAAACACACCATGAATTTTTTTTTAATCTTATAAAAAAAACTGAAAATATTGTTAACAGTAGTTGCCTTAAGGGAAATGAAACTTTAAGTGAGGGTAGAGTGGTAAGGAGAAACTGTTATAATTTTTTAAAACTATAACTGCATATTATTTTAAAACTCTTGAATCAAACATTAAAGAATGAAAGTTAACTTGGTGACCCTGAAACTGCTACTGAGGCACTACTGAATATAAAAGCAGAGTAGAGGGCAGGAATCTGAAATGAGACCACCTGGGCTTAAATCCTAACTTGCAAATCAGTAGCGGTGTGACCTTAGGCGAGTTGGTAAGTATAGAGCAGGAATACTAATAAAACAAAATTCGAAAAGTGAGGTAATGTATGTAAAATGCTTAGAACACTGCCTGACCCAGAGCTGGTGTTCAATCAGAAAGAAACAGAAGTACTCAGGAGAGGATGTGTATGAAAAGGTCCAGGGAATGGATGCAGTCATACCTGGTGCCACCTAAAGGGAACAGAGAGGTCAACCCACATGGACTGTATCCTGTGAGGATTGAGAATCCAACGACAGTGGATTGGCCAGATTGGAAGAGTTGGGGAGGAAGACTGGAGCAGAAGGGGAAAGAATAACATCAGGATTATAGATTGGGAAAAACAAGGGCAAAAATGGTCAGCAGTGGCCTTTGTGGTACATCTCTAAGGCACCAGGCACATCACTAAGCTGTTCCTATGCTTTTCCACATTTCCTGCTCACAACAAATCTAGGCAGAGTCATTCACTCCTTTCATAAATATTTACTGAATAATTGCCATATAAACAGGCCCCAAGGCAGGAGCAGAAAATAGGACCTTTCAGCTACAGTCCAGTGACTAAAAGAGATGTAAGAAATGAGGTAAAAGTTTAGCAGGGGCCAAGGGAAGAGGTGAGATTTTATACAAGAAGTGATATCACATTTAGTTGGAAAAAAAAATCTCTGTAAGTACCACATAGGGAATTCCTTCTAATGAGGCAAAAGTGGGCACAGCAAGACCAACTATGTGGATGAGCTGTCTATACCAGAGAGCTGACGATCAAATAAGTCAGTCCACTTGCTCACATGAAAGATGTAGCTACACATAAAAGATTCAATTGTCTTAATACATGACAACTTTGGGGAAGTTGGATGGAATCTTTTGGATATCTAAGTAAAAATGTTCTCATAGCTATTGTTCCACATGGGGTTCATTTTCATAAAAGTAATCAGGCCATCAAATATTTATAAAGCAATATATGTTGATTCTCCTAGGGCTTTTTATAACTTTCTGTGTTCTCCTCAGGTGGTCTCCCATTCTCCCCTGGCTCCGTCATTGGCTTGAAGGAGGACCACAAATCTCCCATTAGCCTAGGCATCTTCTTCATCCTCTCTATTATCCAGCTCTGTATTCCTAACTCCAACTCAGGCATCTCTAATGCACCACATGAAAACTCAACTTCCATATCTTTCCTGAAATTTCTAATCCATTCACTCCATCTTGCAACACAGAGACTGCAGAGCTACAGAGAATTTTCGCCTCCCCTTTATTATCTCTGCATATTCATTCTCTTTTATCTCTTCAATGTTCCATCTCCTTCCCTGAAAATCTGACCAATTGTTGACTCAACCTTGAAAATACAAAACCCAGGATACACTCGTGTACACGTACACACACACACATACTCAAACACATACACAGCTCCATTTCACCATAGAGAACCCTGACTACTACTTACATACTAGACAATAACATTATACCTGTGGAGCCAATAAGTAGAGAAGGAGTAGAAACAGTGCTTAAATTCAGACATTTCAACCTTTACAATTCTTTCCTTGACAGTGATGCCAAGTTACATAGACCTGCTATGCTTTCACTGACTTTGTTTAGATGCTCAAAGAAATCACCATGAAGCATCATGAGGACTAATTTGTATTCCTACCACCCCACTTGCCATGCAGTACTTGAGGGCTGGGTGACTGTCTTCTCCTCGTTAACCCAGCCTCTGTATAGTCATCAAACATTCTACCAGGAAAACACCAATAAAGGCCCAGGTTTTCAAGGCCATGAATAATTCAACAAAATAGACACAAGTGCTTTCACATAGGTTGGAAATCAGAATCTAGAGCTTATACATATATGTGTGTGTGTGTGTGTGTGTGTGTGTGTGTATACACACATACATATGATATTAACATTATACCATGACTATAATTATATTCTTATTATTAGTATATAATCATGATTATAATCATCTGATATATAATTATATACTAAATATGATTATATCATATTTAAATTTTTATAGGTTTTCACACCTGAGACAATGGAACAAAATGGGTGGAAAATGTACTCGCACTGTAGCATTTTCTTCTTTTGTGTTCAAATGCTTCCCTTTGCCACAACATCAAATAGAAAAATGTAATAAGCAAAAGAGATAATTTTTTTATTTTAACACTGGGAATTGAACATAGGGTTTTCTGCTACTGAGCTAAATCACCAGCCCTTTCTAAATTTTAATTAGAAACAGGATCTTGCTAAGTTGCCCAGTCTGGTGTCACACTTGAGATCCTCCTGCCTCAGCCTCCCAAGTAGCTGGGATTCTAGATATGCACTGTAGCATATAGCTGAGATAAAGATTTTTTTACTAGTCCAAAAAAAGTGAGAAAACTTTAAACAAATAAAACATAAAATTACTGATGTTCCACTTGATGTTTAAAATTAATATTTTTTTCTCTATTTTAGTATCTGACTATAGTGTCAGATAGAATAAAGGAAACAAATACTATTGAAATGAAATCATCTAAACAATCCTGACCAGAGGAAATAAGGATTAATATAAGACATCCTGTTATCTCATGTCATGTCAGTGTTGATATCATTTAAATATTACTCATATGAATATTTTGACAATTATGTCAAAAATATGAAGTAGTAATGGGTGTGGTGGCATATGCCTGCAATTCCATGATTTGGG